TCGCAAAAGAGCGGTGTTCGCGTATTCAACTACTCAAATCATTCAATTTTGCTTTGTTCATTAATTCTGGTGAAAGTGTTTTGTACGGACAAATGTGTGGTATGGATCTTTTTGCGCTCGCGTTCTTGCACATTAACGTTAGCTTTTTGCGATGCGTGCGCGCGCGCGCTCACCTTCGAAAATAAATATCAGATTTCGAGGAAACAAGAACAACAACAAAGTGTTCATAATTTTATAATTTGCTTCGTCTTTCATTAGTTTCATTCTATCCGCATAGAATTGTCCTAATTATTGTTCTAATTTGTACGCTTTTATACTATATTCGTGATTGTATCCCTTAGCCATTCTCACTCTTTGTGAAGAAAAAGAAAAGAGCATCTCTTGAAATTAAATATATTTTAATTCACACTTTAAGCAAAAGGCTATTTACCCAGAACACGGGCATCGTGTTAAATGGATTTTCCATGGCATTCAATCATCCGAAAACAAGAAAGCAAATGATATGTTTGTTTGGTTTTTCTACAGTCGAACATAAAGAGAAGTCGAATGCTGTTCTCAGTTCCTTCATTGTTGTTTTATTCCATTACATTATTCCTTAATAAATAAAACACTTCATTCTAAAGTGTTATACTCAGCAGGAGCAACCATCGCACACTGTAAGTAAGCAAAATTCATATTATTGCGTCGAAGCGATTAAAGCATGCAGTTTGCCGTACAAAAACAGGAGCGAAAGGGAGACAAAGAACACAAACAATGAAAGAATGAAAGAAAAACCAAGCCATGCATGAAACGGTATTCAACCACTTATAACACACGCAACACACGAAATACATTGCAGGATCACGTTTGGTGAATTACGTCAAAAACACAAGCAGTCGTAAGCAACAAAACGCAGTGTATGGCACACAGCACAGCACCTCGAATTCATCGACAGCTTAACCAAATCTAACCTTACCGATGTGCTGAGCCAACCATCTGCCAAAATCGAATGGACAATGGTTTTTAGAGTCAATGAAGGAAGCGGCCGCCGCCGCCGCCGCCACTGTTGACAACGGACAACATAAACCACTTGCAATTGATTCGACATAACTTTATCATATTCAAGCCTAACGTCCGATTCCCTTCAACATATTGTGCTTTCCGTATCTCTTTCATTTAATTGAATCCATTTAACACCATTTGTAAACGTTTGCAGAGGCTATAATCTAGATCCACACATCGAATATGTGGAACTAAATTTTTACTCGCGTTCATTCATTTTTAATTGGTTTCCTCGTGTTTTAATGTTTTCGTACAACACATACGCATCGATTGAAATTTTCCGAAAAATTTGACAAATCTTATATCCTGCTAAGGGTTAAATATTTCTCCTCGATGGCTTACACGTACCTAATCGACTGTGCCCATTGGCCAGTGACTGCCGTCTCGCGCTCGTCACAGTGTGAGTCTTTAATTAATATTCATTAAACACACAATTAAAATATTCTTCTCGGTTCGAGTAATATTCAAGGTCTTTGCTTGATGTTATTACCTAGAAATATCAATGGAAATGACTGTATTTTAGATGCATGCATTAGATATGCATAATATGTATGCGTATGCATGCGATCAACAATACGAACAACAAAAAAAAGTGTGGTTATAAATAGATATAGATGTTTATCGAAACGATGATGATGAAGAAGAAGAAGAGGAAAACAATTTTCACTGGGACCGTACGCGCAATGCTGAAATATACATCATTTCACGACCGATTTCAAATCACAAATTATTGGATAATAATATATATAACAATTCATTGAGAGAAGTTGGTATGTGTGAACATGCAACACATTTAATAAACGTTTTTAAATGGGCCTCTTCAAATCAATCGTGTTCGTTTGTGCTGAATTTCTGTCTAACAGTCGGCCCGATAAAGCGATGAAGTTATAAATTTCCCAATGCAGACATTGCGCTCTGCGAATGCACAAGCACACAGCACCAACAACAGTAGAGAGAAAAAAAACTGCATCTTTAATACCATTTAATCGAAAGTAGTGAGAGAGAGAGAGAGAGAGAGAGAGAGAGAGAGAGAGAGAGCGAGCGAGCGAGAGAACGCCAGACACAACACACAAAAAATAAGCCGTGTGCTTAAACACACAAAATGAAATGTATTGATTTAATAGCGCGATGTATTGATGATAAATTATAAGTTTCGAATAATATACAAAAATGAGATTTGGAAAAAAGTGTTTTATCGCGCATATGTGTTGGATATTTGATGGTTTTACGAACTATTTTTTCAATGTACATTTCTTGGAAAGCAACAATTTTGAATGGTGACTCTCGGTGATACGGTTTTTTTTTTCATCACTCTTCTCTTCATGCCGTTGTTGTTAGCTGGTCGTTGGTTAGGTTTGTTTGTGTGTATGTGTTTTTTTTTTCGTTAGTTTATTCCAAGTTTTCGTTTGTCGTTTTTCGTACCGTTTGTCTGTCAATTTTCGTTCAAAAGCACTCATGTCGCTCTACTCTTAATCTGGTTTATTCGTTCGAGTTCATGTGTATACGCGCGCGCGAGAGGGAGAGAGAGAGAGAGAGATCTTTGAAATGTCGCAAATCATAAAAAGAATTGATCAACACCAGATTCACTGATATTATGTTTATTTTGATGTGTATAACACAGACGCTGTTTGTTCAAAATTCTTTTATGTGCTCTTTTTTAACTTTAATAGTCCACTCGAAACGGCTTTTTACTGTTGTTATATATTTATATATATATATATATATTTTTTGTTCGTTGTTGGTTTTTTGTCGATGCGTTTCGATATGATGATGATATGAATGAAGCGCGAATGCGAGTACGATTGCGAGAGCGAGAAAGCCAATTCAGCCAGCGAGATCCAAAGAATATTACGCGTCTGCATAAAATATCATTTCGGCTTTCTTTTGATATGGTGTGTGGATGATGATGATCATCATTCTCTCGTAACTTTTATAGAACTACCATTTTAAGTTTTAAACAAGCGAAATGGGCAAGACACTGAAGAAATTGTCATGACCGGAGCATTTTTATCGAGCGTGCAGAATCTTTGCACAATAAAGGTGTTTTTGTTGACCGCAAAACTATAAACATTTCGAGCTATTTAATGTAATGGACATCTAAAATGAGACCACTGTCAAAAAGCAGCAGTAGCAGTGTGCTGTTTTCGTAAGAGTGCGCGCGAATGCGAGCGCACACGTTTAATTCATCGTTTGGCCGTCTTATTTTTCATTTTGGATCCCTCATATTTTCCATTCTGTTGTTCTTTTTTTAATGTCATAAATTACTACCGCTTAAATGATATTGCAACGAAATTTCGTAATAAAAGTGTCGTAGCCGTTGACGGTTGGCTTCCTTTTTTTTTGTCATTCAAATAAAAAAAAATGTTCAAATTCAACGAAAACTATTTGTGTTCATGACAAAAAGAAAGATGTCTATTTTGAATTGAAAATGATAATTATCGATGGATTTTAGGTGATAGCGGTGGTGTTGGTGTTTAGACTATGAAAGATTTAGCCACAAGATCAATTATCAATGGCGAGAGTGCAGCTCATTTAAATGTAAAACAATTCAGGGAAAATGTCTACTTATTCTTTGCATTCTTCATTTCTTCATTGACAAAAAAATAAAATAATTTTTTTTTTCGGTGTTGCGAGGAAGGACCAGGGGTATAGGCATAGTTGACAACACATTAAAACCAAACACGTGCCTTCCTTTTTGTTATTCATTGATAAAGTGCTTCCATATTATTATTTCCAAGAAATAAATGTCTTCTATACGCATCTAAATACGAATAAAAAAATAACGCCCGTTTTCAAAACGACCATACCAATTTCAATTGCCGTCACTTACCGATGCCTAGCGAAACTAACTGGAGTCGATGTCGTCTTTCTTTCTTTCTCTCTTTCTCCTTCATTTTTATACCGTAATAAAAATGAGCAGAAGAATTAATAAATGACAATTACGTGAGGTGAAAATTTATACTTGCATTCTACTTCATTCTTTCGTTTTTTTTTTTTTTTAATTGATGCTTCGCCTTCTTCCTTCATGCTGAATTGTTTTTCTTGTTAAAATTCTGTTATTCCGTGTGTTTTTTTTTCTCGCTCTCTCTGTGTGTCTCGCTTCTTTTTTTCCAAAGTGAATGAATACGTAAACACATAATAAGAAATTAAAACAAATTTGAGACAACGCACACACACTTAACAGTTCTCAGTTCTCTCATATTATGGTGAATTGTTATGAATAATAGTAGGAATACGTGCCCAAAGCAAACCAAAGCATGCACGTATATCCCGAACAATGAATAGTTTTGCTTAATGTCGTTCCATGTCATTTTCATTGAATATACAAGATTTTTATTTCTTTCGCTCTCTCTCTCTCTCTCTCTCCTTTTATTTCGACTAAATGGCTTGGCTTGGCTTGGCTTGGCTTGGCTTATTAAATATTACATCACAAAACATCACATCATTAACAACCACAACAATATCAACATCATCATCACCGTTTCCAGACGACACATTTGGACAGGAAGCAAAAAGGACTCGAATCAATAAATTATCTTAATTGTTTCATTCATACCGATCTAATCGGGCAAACAGTTTTATTGATTTTCCAGAAAGGTTTTTTTTTTTACTACGAAATCAAATCGATTCAAATGTGAATGAATGGATGAAATTATCTAAAGCCCATCCTTTTCGATTACTATCGCTAATTTCCATCTACAATCAGCCCATTCAGTTAAACGCAGCTAACAATACCATAGAATAATAATGATTGACTCTTGTCTTCTTGGTGTAATGTGTGCGTGTACCTATCTGATTCAGACATACAACCAATTTCAACGAAATCCAGTTTCCTCTCTCATTGCAGCGAAATCACGTACGTGAGCGTTTAACTGACAAATCAATGCATAAAAGGGAAAAAAAACACGAACGAATAGAGAGAAAAAAACGCAAATGAAACCACGTGAAGATGTTCGGTAAATAGTTCTAATAGTTCTCATTATATTTTAATTATTCAAAATAAATATACAGAAATTACCCGCATTACATATAGAAACTTATCATATATATATATATATATGTACATAAAATGCATCGTAATCTGCCAATATAATTCATGGTATACAGTCTTTCTTTCTTTCATTTTTTCTTTCATGGGTATAAATAATATAATTCGTACTTCGTTTGGCTTAAAATACTGATCGACGACGTCTACATTGCATGGTGCGATGTGTTTTTCTTCTTCTTCTTTTCGTTTGGTTTTGAGAATATAGTGCCGATCGTTGTTTTTGTTTCAATTTGATTCGCATACAATTCGGCTTATATCATTCGACAAATGGTAGTAGAATCGTACACAGAAAAACAATGTGGTGCTGTTTTTATGTTCTTGTTGTTGTTTTTGTTTTAAATCAGGTAAATCAGATCAGTTGAATTGGGTGTCGTCCACGTTAATTTCTTCATCATCCATACATTGACTGCTGTCGTCTTCATCACTTAGGCTGCGATTTAGATTTTTGTTGCCCGTGCTATTGTTGCCCTCTTGTTGCATGCGCTTGTGTTTCGTTCTTCGGTTTTGGAACCAAACCTTAACCTACGCGAAAAGAATAGATAGAAAAAAGGACCAAACGTTAGTTTTTTTTTCGTCTTTATTTATTGTTAGTAAATACGTTCTCCAACATCTAAAATAAAAATGAATTCATGGGTATTTAACGTGGAAATCGACAAATCAACATTTAACCATAAATATTTTGGTGAACATGTGCCAGATTTATTTCTCATTTCTTTTTAATCGCACGAAATATTGGAGTTCGTTTTTTATTAATTTTGTTGTTGTTGTTGTTGTGTTTGATGGTGATGAATTCTTACCTGAGTTTCTGTGAGATGTAGCTGTTTGGCCAATGCTTTTCGTTCTGATCCTACAACATATTGATTGCCTTCAAATGCATTCTCTAATTCAAGTAACTGTAATGGCGCGAATGCTGTTCGAATACGCTTTGGTTTTCGGTACGGGTGCAATAGGAAATCACCTGTGAGAACAAATGAGAAAGAGAGAAAAAAAAAATCAATTAGTTTCACAGTTTCAACGGAATAAAAACGTCTAAAAATCAAGTTTCTTTCCCTCGATTTCGTTTGTAATTCGCAATTTTTGCTAAATCAAAAAATGTGGGCACATACGTTGAGAGTGGGTTAAGCTTGTTAAAACGATTAACACCACAATTGCGCGCATTTAATCGGCCAGATAAACATCAAATGCAACCGTCAAAAAGCAAAATAATCGGTCGGTGCAAATTACTTTGTCTTCTCTCAACGAGCGCTCAGTTATTTCTTTCACTCGCCCGAAATATATGCTCTTTCGCGCAACTACACATTATAAATATCATTTCGAAAACCAAAAGGAAGAAAAAACCAAAGAAAAAAAAAAATTTAAACTCAATGCTTACCACTGCCGTATCCATATGGAAATCGTTGCATATGATAAGAGGTACGATGGAAATTATTGCCTAAAATTTGCGAAAAGTTCATCGCCTGCGGCTGCATCGATGCATTATATTGATAATTTAGAGCAGCTGCCATTTGTAATTGAGTGTTGAGGATTTGTTGATGTTGTTGCATTGCATTTAGGGATAATAAATTATCGGACGGTGTAAATGGCAACTGTGGCTGTTGATATGGATGTTGCATACCATGATTGGGTAGTCTATGTTGTGGCGCACAGTTTATAAAACGAGCGGGAATATCACTAGTATCGGGAATTTGATTAACTGGGCTCACTTCTCGGCTAAAATCGTCCGAAATCGAAGCGGACTTTAGAGGCAATTCGATCGGTGAGATTGTTGGTTTTGTTACACATTTCTGGAGTTTTACATCCTTTTCCACACTTGAATCGCTCTTCAGCAGCAATTCAATGCTAAAATTTGAACTCATTTTTGGCACATTGGTTGGCATTGTTTGCAACATTATATTTTTTTCTTTCTTCTATTTGACTTAAAACAAATCACAAAATCCACCGATTGTTTGTTGTTGAGATTTTTTTTCTGTTCAAATTTCACTGATTGATAAACAAAAGTGTTCGTAGCTTAAATGTTACACGTGCGTTGTGATCGATTTTATTTTGTGCATCACACACTTGAAATTTTGTTTCGAAAATATTTCTCACTCAGCGCAACAGAGATTGTTTTATTTTTTCGGACGATGTGTAGACTACGAGATCTAACGTACAACTGAAGTTGAGTTGCCTCCAGTCGACCGACGCAGACGAAGCACAGTGCGACGAACAACGAAGGGCGTGTTCATACGAATCAAGAGAGAAACGATACACTCGGAGGATGGAGAGACGATGAAATTGAACATGAACATGCACATAAAGGAAGAGAAAAAAAAAAGAAGAATCATGGTCATGATGATGATGATGAACAACGAACGAAGAACGATTTTTCGTGTAGAAAAATTTTCTTTCTCGATTCTTGGCTTTTCTCTCACACATTCTTCCTCTCTCACACACTCGTTCTGTCTCTTGCCATGCACAAAACGGCACTCTGTACAATTTTTCAAAGGAGCTAGAATGAAGTGGAAAAACGGAGACAGCAAATGCATAAACTGCTTTCCGAAAATAATCTCGAGTTTAAAAAGTCTCTTGGCTAAAACCAATTTTCTTCTGAGAAGATTACTCACTAAACGTACTAATTTTTTTCCACCCGTTTTTTTTTTTATTTGTTATTTTGGCAAGAGCGAAGACACACGATTGCGCTCGATGGAATGAGATCTTTCAAATATAAAATCTGAACGCGAGCCAAAAATAAAAAAAAAATGCGGAAAAAACGGGCAATCAAAAATAGCAGTCTGTTAATTCGTTAATTGGTTGGGCATTTTCACCACACAAACGGCTAAATACCACAATTTATTTCTTTGTTAATTATAAGTTCGTTTTTTTTAATTTCCAAATGGTGAATGTGTAAAAGATCAATATTTGGTCATGGCAATTATAACTAGAGCTCCGTTTGTTATGCATAAAATGATGAGCTGAGAGCACACCAATGAAGGCACGCATTTTATTTTTATTTTATTGTCAACAAGGGGCGAAATGCAATCAGATTGCTCTCTGTCTGTCGGTATACGCACGTGCATATTATGCGTTTTTTCGTTATCAATGAACAATTCGTTTACATCTGAGATGCCAATCGACCAAATAACAAATGTTCCAACCACAAGATTGTGAACAATGTGTTATTGGGAATGGAATCAGAAGCGCGCTCGCAACTTCCTAAACAATAAAGTGAATCGAATTGCCGTCGAAACAGTAGATGAAATAAATAAAGTAAGAAGTAGAAAAAAAAGACAAAACAAGAGCTACATGGCGATATTTGTAACAAATTAAGCCGGTTCTTACAACAACCACTTATAATAATTCTGTAAAGGAATACTGAGCAGGCGGCATCGATTCAATTTAAAAAAGAGAATCAAAAATACGCTCACTTATATATGTAGCTATACATGTATTTTAAACAAGGGGGAAATCACTCAAAAGTAATACCAAATAGAAAAGTAATACCTCAGTTATTTCTAGTAATACCTCTGGTATTACTTTTGATATTTCTATGAAAAAAGTAATACCGAAAAAAAGTAATATCCAAGTAATACCAAGTAATACTGATCAATAGAGGTAATACACCTGGTATTACTTTTGATTTGTACGGAAAGTAATACCAAGTAATACCATTTATGTAAAAGTAATACCTAAGAGTGATTTGCCCCTCGATTTTAAATGAAAACTACTGAGTCGGAGCAGGCTTTGGCATCTGTGTGTGTGCTTTACGATGCGTTGCGCATTGCACAGTGACGATCGGTACGCGATGCTTTATGTGGTGCAATTTTTTTTCGATACTAGTCCTGTCGATTTTTCGATTTATTTTCTCTTTCTTTCTCTCTCTCTCTCTCTCTCTCTCTCTCGTCACTACTCATCGGTGAACTTGGCTTGATTCATACAATTTATATTATGTGATATTTCGTTCCAATTATTTAGCGTTTTTCTTTCTGTGAGTGAGTTTTTTTTTCCTTCATCACCAGTGACGATGCAAATTTCTACGACTGCAATCGCAGTTGTTTATTTACAACATGTACACACTCTGTGTCATTTTACAGAGAGACATCAATGAAAGATGCTTCAAATTTCTTTATCTCTCTCTATTTCTGACTTCATTATTGGCTTGTGCAACCACTCGACACAACTCTTCTCAAATCAAATGGAACGGTAATTATGTGTCAAACGCGTTACGATCAATTTTTCAAAAAAAAAAAAAAAAAAGGTTTCATTTTCAAGTGAAACAAAAAGTAAAACACTCCAAAGAAAAAGAAACGAGTAGAACCGAAAAGTGTGCGCCAAAGTGCATTTTGCCATGCTTGATAATTGCTAAATTGATGAGGAGCGATGACAGCAGAATGAACCACATGGAGAAAATGTACAAAGAAAAAAGAACAACATGAAAAGAGAATACGGTATTAATTCATCCAATAAGTGATGGAAACATTCAAAACTATTACATTTATTTATGTTTTTTGCTCCCGTACGCGATAAAGTAATACAAAATGATGAGCAATAAACGCCCACATATTTACACGTCTGCAGAAAAAACGGCCGAAGCCAAAGAACGAACGAAAACTGAATCGCGGCGTGTGAATGCCACAAAAAAAAAAAAAAAACGTGGGTGAGACAAAGACGCTGAGAGCAAAGGAAAAAAAAAATAAATCTCTCTATTTAACTCAAGAAGTCGTCGAAAGTACAGAAGAGAAAAGCGAAATGAAGACTAAGTGCACCAATCAACACATAATATATATTTCTCATCAACGACTCTCTTGAACTAGGTAAAATGCTTTTGCTCGCACACACAATAACAACAGAAAAATTATCCCAAGAATAATTATTAATATATTGTTAAGATGAATCGCTTTACTTTCTAGTGTGTTGGCTGAACGGGGCCGAGTTAAATCAACGACGAGATTTGGAATAGTACACATACACACGTATTATAATTGAAAGCAGCTGTGGCATCAAGAAAACAAGCGTACACACGTATTTAATTTTGTTTTGGGCGCTACATTAAAAGAATTATGTCTATTTTATGTAGCACCAACCTAATGTGTTGATGGTAGATTTCATTTATTTCGGTGTCGATTGGATGTGTGAACGAAAATTGTTTCTAGTAAAACATCGAAAAGAAATAACACATTGAAAACGGTAAGGTACCGGTGCTTGACATGGCTTGAATCGGGCTTGAATGCCTTGAAAGTCAACGGCAATTGTATGAGCATCCTAATTACCGCGGATGAATTTCGATGAGTGTATCTGTTTTAGGTTGCCGTAATATTTCAAATAACATGAAAACAATCAAAATCAATTAATTTGTCTGACATAGATGACAAAGAATGCTGCGGAGAATGTGTATGTGTATGTGCGTGCGAGTGTTTATGCTATGCTGCGGATGTGTGTTTGAATATGCGCGCTTAGCGAAGATTTGAAGCCCTCAGATGCAAATACGTTTGTACGGATTGAGCGAGAGAAAAAGAGACAATGTATGGGAATTGTCCAATTATAATTGGCTTAACAGATTTTATCACCACATATAGTTGACATTTACACAATTTATAATTAAACTGGTATCGCGCACACATCACATGCTTGTTGTATATGCAGCAGAGCGCATTCTTCCATTTCAATCGATATCCATCACGTAGTTGTACACATATATTTCTGCTGAAAATGTGTGCACTATCGAAGAGAGCGAGAAAGAGACCTATTCGCTGATTGCTGCTGCTGCTGCTGCTGCTGCTGCTGCTGCTGCAAATCGTTGTGTTTGTGAATGTTTTTTTTTTTTTCAATTCTGCACAAAAGTGTGCTACGATCTTTGATGCCATTCTTTGTGGAGTACGCGCGGCATTCAATGGAAACGGCTACATTTTTTGACATCCATTTGGTTTGATCTTCGTTCTTTTTTCTTCTTTTGCAGCACTACCAACAACAATAACGACTGAAAAACAAACTGCAAACCAATTTAACTTGAAATAATGTGTTCAAATTAAAGTTTTCTAATGTGTTAAAAACAAATTCTTTGCAGTTAACCACATTAAATGCTAAAATATTTTCGAAATGATTACGTACAATGGTTGTGTTGTGTGCAAGAAGGTTATAAAATTGCACTTCTGCACCAAATGAGTGTTGTGCAAATTTATTAAGCACAGCAACACCAAATCATGTTCATTTTTTTTTTTTAATTCCTGCAACGCACACATAAACACGATAAAAAGGCTAAGATTACCAGAAGACGTGAACTCTTTCGCTCGCTCCTCAATAATCAACTGGACCAAATCGCGATCGAAGCGCTTCCCGCTCTCGCACCACATCTACCTTGTAAACTGATATCATTCACATCTCGAACAAAAGACAATTTGTTCATTACATTTGCACACGATAAATCTTGCGCAGCTTAATTACATTTTTTTTTCTCGTGCATTTGCGAAGTAGATGTGTCAAATGGTGTATAAATTTCCCATCGAGTCTAGGTGTGCATATATGCTGCATTTATTTTCTCTTGTGCGAAAGCAAAGAAAAATAAAAAAAAAATCGTGTCCTTTGTGGCTATTTAACATTTGTCGGGCCATAAAATGAGCCATAAAACGGTTCTGAGAAGCATAAAAGCCAAAAAATTAAAGTTCATTAGATTTACTCTGGTATTTAATACCAAGTACCTAATGGTTCTATTGTTATCACTGAATGCACGACCACAGGGGCCATCTAGCTTGCGAACCCGAGAGATGGCATCGATCAGAAGTACAAGACTACTGAATAGAATTCAGAGAAAACAACAACAACAAAAAAAACGATTTAACCACAGGAAAATATGATTTTTTACCACAAAAATAGATATATGACCATGCAATGGATTTATAATAAATCACGGCAAGTCTAAGTTTCGGATATCAGTAAAAAGTACGGAAAATGCACCGATTTTCAACATTCCAAAAATTTGATTTTTCCATTTGAATATGAAATAAGAAGATGAAGAAGAATTTTTTTTTTCATTAGCAGAGAAAACTGTTGCCCAGCACAAATACTGGTTTTTGCTGTCTTGGAATCGATGCGAGTCTTCTTGTCTGTGATCATCTTTCGTTTCTCATTTCTATCTTTTCACATATTTTTTCTTCTTCTT